GTCATTTTGGTTTTCTGTGACTAAAAATATAATTTGTGACCAAATAATTCGATAATCTGTGACTAAAAATATAATCCGTGACTTAAAAATTATATAATCTGTGATCATGAAAAAATATGTAACCAAATAATTTGAAAAATTATGTTCGTATGACCTTCTGTGACTAAAAATATAATCTGTGACCAACCATTTTGTTATCTGTGACCTAAAAATTATATAATCTGTGACCGTAAAAAAATCTATGACCAACTATTTTTGTAGTCTATGACTGTGTGACTTATAAAAATGTTGTGACCAAAAATCAATATTAACATGTCACATGTGAAGAAGTCGCCGGAACGATCACTGGAATAATCGTCGGAATCGGAGAAATCGTCGAAATGGTGATCGGAATAGTCGTCGTAACGGTCACCGGAATAGTCACCGGAATCGGAGTATTCGCCGGAGAGGTAGGGGTGGTGGAAGTGGGATGTGTTAATTATATTATATTAGAATTAAATATTTAATAAATTGATTTAATAATTTATTATTACATAAATAAAAATAAAATAAAAATCTGATTTTTGAAATTTGAAACTTGTTTTCTTATTATTGAAATGAGCTATACTTGTGCTCTTATTTATGAAATTTTCCCTTAATTAAAACTTTACATACCATTTATATTTCTTTAAAATTGTAATATCTATTACTTTTTCTTCTAAAACAATTGTAATAAAATTATGTATGAATTCTTCAAAATTTGTTGAATTGCAAAATGGTACAAAGTTATTACCTGAACTTTAAATAAATAATCACTTCATTTAAGATGCAAAATAATAAATAATATTATATATTTTACTTGATTTTCTAAAAAATTATTATTGAGCACAAATTATTTATTACATGATTTGCAACTGATAATTCCCATTTGTCCAATTAATAAAGTTGGATTTTTTTCTATTTTATTTCAACACTTTATTATATTATAAAATTTTATTTTCTATTTTTTTCAAGTTGTAGTTTAAATTAAAACCAAGATGATAAATTTTTGTGAACTTCACAATAAAAGGAACATTTCTTAAATAGAAATAAAATATCATAAGCTTGTAATAATTAAAAATTTAAAATAATAAAATAAACTAAGTTTAAAGTGTTACATAAATTAACATATAGGGTGTAGTTTGTTATTTTTAACAAAGGGTATTTTGGCTTGTTTAGTTATCTATAATAGAAAATACGTAATCATTTTAATTTTCTTGAAAAATATTATTTATATTACCAATAAGTAAATGACAGTTATATTCATGTCACAATTTTTTTTAAAAGTACACCATATTTTAACAACATTAAAGGTCATTAACTTTTATTCATGATCACACTTGTATTCTTAATTTTTTCTTCGTCACGTTCTTATTTTTAACATTTCATTGATCAGATAATCTGATCCTTAATCATGATTCTAGTCCAAAAATATTGTTAATGTATTTTAAAATGAGGTCAAATATTTTATAGAAAGTATAATCTACATTTTTATTAAAGTCAAAGTTAACAATTAACTTTTTCGATTACGGCGTCCTTCTTCATCTTGATCTAGACAACTTTTTCTCAAATGAGATGGCTAGGCTCTGCTCGACTCGCTCTAAGACGAGCAGGAGCAAATGCGTGCGATGGACCGAGTCGAGACCCTTACCTTTAGTCCCCGTTGGCACTTAATGGATGACATGGATGATAACTTTAATGACTCCTAGGGTTAGTAAAATAATAGAAGGATTACTTTGAAATATTTCACAAACTTTAGGTGTAATTAACTCAATTCATAACATTCTTTCACTGTTCAGGGTGTTCTACCACCTTCTCCCTCTCTTGAAGCAAGCACCTTATTCGACCAATCTCAAATTCCTCTTATGATGATTCTCCATCTCTATCCATTAGTGTTTCTATCTACTGATCTAAAGTTAAATTAAAAGTAAAAAATTATTTTACAATTCTGTTTCGAGGATCCAAGGAAATGGCAGAGGATTGTTGCTCGACGCAACTGATTGACGCTAACGGGGAATTCAATGCAGCGGAACTTCAGAACTTCATCGACACCGTCAAACTTCACCAGCGCGGCCTCTCTTACGCCGTCGTAGCAATTATGGGTCCACAGAGCAGTGGTTTGTTAATATTTATTTTAATTTACTATCCCTTGTTGTAACTGTTGCTGCTTAAGTGGTACCCTATTACTATGCCGTGAACTTTTGATATATAGAGTGTTATTTACTTGTTATTGTTTTTCATGTTGTGTATATGATTAATGTTTTCTTAATTTATAGGGAAAAGCACTTTGCTGAATTATCTGTTCCGTACAAACTTCAGGGAGATGAATGCATTGACGGGAAGGTCAGTATTTTCTGTCTCATTGTCTGTGCGCAATTTGTATAATTATTGGATTCTATTGAATTTAACATGTTACCATGATGAGATGAACTACCTAATTAGCAGTGTTTTTGGAAAATTTTGTTGGTTGTTGGATTTGATTAGGAATCAAACGACCAAGGGCTTATGGATAGCCAAAGCTGTTGGCATTGAGCCATTTACGATCGTCATCGACTTGGAGGGTACTGATAGCCGCGAAAGAGGCGAGGTCGGTTTTCTTCATGGAATTAAGAGAACATTTTGATTTATGATACGGCTAAGACCTAGGAGGCTAGAATGAGGGGAGTGTCCTAAGTGAGAATTTTGTTTTCTTGTTTTACTAAACAAAAATAAACCACTGTATTATTGTTGTTATAAATACATGTGGATTTTACAATTTATAAAATTCTCTCTAAATAAAAGGGGTAACTTTCTAGACACGTTTACACGAGTCAATTAAGTGATACATTGAGCTTCTAGTTTCATACTCTACTTATTCTTAACTTTCTAGTAATTGATTGATATAATTTAAAGTATAAAAAGTTTAAGAAATATATTTAAGAGAGTTGGTCGAGAAAGCTCCGATTATTTCCACAGGCCGGCTTGATTATCTCTAAATTATTGTATTTGGTTCTTTGTTTAATTAATTAATCATGTTGTTAATTAAACTTTGTTGGCGTAAATTAAGTTTAAGTGCTAGATAATTGCAATTTATCTTGTATTTTTGTTTGGAAATTTGATTTCAGGATGATGCAACATTTGAGAAACAAAGTGCATTATTTGCTCTGGCAATTGCGGACATTGTCCTCATTAACATGTAAGTTTTAAAAGTGTTGTCTAATGCTTCTATCATTGAGCCCAGATGCAACCTGAAATATTTTGTATTGAACTATGGAAATAGATTTACATCATTCATTTGTCATATCCTAATTTAAATAGTCAGTTTCTTTCTCCCTCAACCTCTTGCATATCTTTTAGTTCTGCGAGTTTCTAGCTTTTTTATCAGTTATTCACAACCACAAAAAATTGTTCATTTGCTAGAATATTGGTTTACAATTTGTATTTTTCTTTACCTTGCTTCTGCGTGTATGAAGATCAGTGTTAAACATGGCCAGGTTGAGTTGATTGCTTGCATTTCTAAATGATTTTGGAGCGTTTTAGTCCATTTCAATTTCTGAGGAGAACCCCTTCATTAGCTGTGTCTTTCCTAAAAATCTTATATGGCTTTTTGTCACGAGGCTATTTTTCTTACGCTAGAATAACTAGACACGTGCGGCCTTAACACAAACAATTCCCGTCCCTACGAGAAAACATTAAGTCAGATTTTCCCACACCGACAAATAATTCAACCAAGTAGGCTAAATTACTAGAACTTTAAATAGAGTATTTGAAGTAATATAGTAGACAAGTAATCTTGGGAGAAAATCTCTCTTTGAATTAAAATAACTCAACTCCAATCTAATAAATTACAATGAGACTCCATCTCTATTTATAGGCAAAATCCCTTGGATTTAATGGCTAAGATCAATCCTCTTGGCCCTCATTGCTTGCAAGTTGCCTTTAAACCTCCTAAGATCAAAGAAAGTAAAGTTGGACTTTGCTTCATGTAAGTGGCATGTCTCTACAAAAATCTCATGCTAGACATGCCCTTTCATAGTGGAAAAATTGGCTTTTGCTTCCTCCTTTGGCCTTGATCTTGCAAGTGGCTTTAGTAGCCAACTTGTACAAGACATCCCAAAATATCCAGCATCTAGCCCATGATATTTCTTCCTAGAAAACCACCTGGTGTGCTGGGAAAACTGCCCATGTCATGCCCATGTCACTGCCTAAGTCATGCAGCCTGCAATCTGTGTTGCTGTACTGCCTGCGTCGTGCCGTGACTACAGTCTGTGTCTGTGATGTCCTGGGTGCTGTCTGCAATCTGTCTGCGATGTCTGCCTGCGTTGCAGCCGCATCGCCATGTGTCGCAGTGCCTGCCTGCACACCCAAATTTCCTAGCCATCACCTTGACACGACCTTGACGTGAACCTGCCACCATGGACACCAGTCATCTCCCCACCAAATTAGGTGACACCGGCACTGCCATGTACCTTTGAAGCTTAGACTTAATTAACCATAGGTCTACTTCATTCTCCCACTTTGTGCCATGACATCCCCATGCCATACTAGATTTCAAGACATCACCTTGTGATCTATCACATTTTGCTGACTTCATCCCCATGCCATACTAGATCTCAAGACATCACCTTGTGATCTATCACATTTTGCTGACTTCTATAATTTGTAGCTTTCAATTTGTTAACTGTTTGAGTATCGAAATGCCTGTAACTTGTTACAGTTGGTGCCATGATATTGGTCGGGAGCAGGCTGCCAATAGGCCTCTTCTGAAAACCGTATTTCAGGTGCATATCATATTTAATATTACTAGTAATAAAATTGGTTCTGTTGGCATGATAACGTGTTTCATGCTTTCTTAGGTTATGATGCGTCTATTTAGTCCTCGCAAAACAACACTTCTCTTCGTCTTACGTGACAAAACAAAGGTATGGTTGCTTTACAAACTCTTGAAGCTGTCATTACATGTGTAGTGTTTTACTTTGTATTAGCACATATTTTTGTAGTTTACTTAATCATTATTTGTATGTTCCTGTAGACTCCATTTAAATTTTTGGAGCCTATTCTTAGAGAGGATATTCAGAAGGTAACGCGTGCCACCATATTTGTTTTGGAAATTATTACCCTCGAAGGCTTTAATTGGATGCGACTATTACAGATATGGGAAACGATTCCCAAGCCCCAGGAGTACAAGGACACTTCTCTCAGTGTATTTTTCCGTGTAAGAAATAGATCTCCAGCATTTGTCATTAATGATACTGGTCTCGGTTCTATGTTATCTATTTGTCTTATTTGAACCTGAAGGTGGAGGTTGTTGCCTTATCCAGTTATGAGGAGAAGGAAAAACAATTCAAAGAAGAGGTAACTCTTATTAAGCTGTAGAATCCGTATTTCCTGCATAGATATGTGCCATAATATCATTGAATAAATTACGATCTTATGCGTGGTTCGATACAGGTTTCCCAACTTAGGCAGAAGTTTTTCCATTCTATATCTCCAGGAGGACTTGCTGGCGATAGAAGGAGCGTTGTCCCTGCTTCAGGATTTTCTTTCAGTGCACAGCAGATATGGAAAATTATCAAAGAAAATAAGGACCTTGACCTTCCAGCTCACAAGGTCCCCTATTTCTATTCATTTTGAAGGAGGAATGGATTACTTCTGCATGCTATAACTCGTGTAACTCCTGTTGTCATCAGGTCATGGTTGCCACTGTACGGTGTGAAGAGATTGCCAACGAGAAGTTCAGTCGCTTGGCATCTGATGAAGTATTATTTCTTTATGTAATGAAAGTGTAAGTCTCCTATTGTCCAGTATTAAGCTCTTGATTTGGTATAGGAATGGATGGCTCTGGAGCGAGCCGTACAAAGCAGTGCTGTCCTTGGCTTCGGAAAAAGGATGAGCTCAATTTTGGAAAAATATCTATCAGAGTAAGTTTGACATGTTTAGAAATGTAACTTTTTGCATATCTGCTTCAAGCAACTTGGCAGCTGATTTTTGGCAAGATACCTTTTTGAATCATCTTTTGAGACTAATAAAAATGTTTCCACAAAGATGAACATATCGTTTTCTGTAAGCAGCACAGAAATCTGCATGTGTGCATAGCGATCTGTGTGTGTTGCGCTTGTAATCTTACTCCAGTATGGACTACCATAACAAGGTTTTGATTCATAATAATTTGAAAAAATTCAAACCTGCACTTCATAATTTTCGCATCTTTCCCTGACAAGGGTCAGCTGTTCCATTGGAATTTGGATTATTCCTCGGCTTCAAAATAATGTTTTCCTTATGTTTCAAAGTTCTTATCGAGCCAAAATCATTCTAGACAACACAGGGTCCCCGCCCAATGACCCAACATCGTTGCCTTTCAGATAATTGTCCCTCTTTCTTGCATATGGCCACAAATGAAAAGCACCATACACCTGCCCTTGCTAAGAGGCCACACCTAAACTACCAAAAGAGAAATGCTTCAACCTTACAAACTGCATCCCCAATCCACACTTATCCGTATGAAAACTACTTTTTCTAACCCCCCCTCTTTTGGACAATAGATTAGTGGAGAAAGGTTTCTTTCTGTTCAAATTAGAGGTGATGGCCATTAAAAATAATTTTATTATTTCGCAGATATGATGTGGAGTCTGTATACTTTGAAGAAGGTGTGAGAAATGCAAAGCGCGAGCATTTGGAATCGAAAGCATTGCAGGTCTGGTAACTGTTACCTTGAACCTTGCATTAATATTATTGTAATCAACGGGTTTGAATATATTTGCTGCTGTACAGGAGTGAGTGACATATATTAAATTTTCAAGAAAAGAGTTGAGAGTTATTAAATAATGTTCAAACATTTAGGTAAATCAAGAGTGTCGCAATATGTTGATAATTTCTGTCTCCTGCGCCTTTGATTATGTCTCTAATACTTTTATTTGTTTGTATTTAAAAAGAAACAGATGCTTCTTGAAACTCTGGTAGTATGGACTGATACAATACTCCCGAATAACCTGTATTTCTTATTGGCTTCTGGACTTCTCTCTTGTTCAGTGTCCATGAAAGGGATTTCCAGAGACACCTTTGGATATCTTATTTCGCCCCCGTTTGGCCTCCATTTTGGGGTGTTGAAATTTTTTGGAATAGTGATTGATGGGAGAATGTGAGGTAGAAAAGTAATGAAAAGTTTGAGATTTGTGTGTAATATTATTTTTATTTGATGAATGTGGTTGAAACGAAGAGAGCGAAATTTAATGTAATGTAATGGAAAAAAATGGGGGCCAAACGGGGGCTTCTTTTTGTTACCCTTCTCTTTGGGATAGAGCAGCAATTCCATTTCGTCATTTTCCCCATTCTCTTCCAGTTTTTAGGGGGTGGGTTGAGGCTTGTACATCTTCCATACACAAGTGGAATATGTGCCATACATTCATGTTTGAATATCTTCTTGAATTAATGCCAACGCGTTTCTTCTGAAATCAAGGTATTATCTTTAAATGCTAAAATATGCCTATTGCAGTTGGTTCATCCTGTTTATATCTCCATGTTGGGGCATCTACGTTCTAGAGCACTTGAAAGTTTTAAGACTCGACTGGAACAATCTTTGGCCGGAGGAGAAGGATTTGCTGCATCTGTTCGCAGCTGCAGTCAGTCTTCTATGGTCGAGTTTGATCAGGGATGTTTAGGTGCTGTATTTACATTGTTCATCTGTAGTTTCCCCTCCCCCTCCCCATCCCCCTCCTCCTATCAAATATATATACATTTTCCTGCAGCTCAGACAATAAGTACTGTAGTTATTGCTATTTCTATGAAGACTTCATCATATCTATTAGAAATCCTTTCCCCTTTTTCCTCCTTCAGGAGGAGGGTTTTTGTTCTGGAATTTTTTAACTCTTATTTCTTTCTTGAGGAATGCTTATTTGAGCTCTTCCCTGCTTGAACCCTATAGTTAGCTGCGGTAGTCTCACTACGATTGATTTACTGAGTGCTAGCAAATGTGTTTGTTTAATTGTTCCATCACAGAGTGCTTTTCGTCTCCAATTTCAGATGCTGCTATACAGCAGGCTAGTTGGGATGCTTCTAAAGTACGTGAAAAACTTCATTGTGATATTGAAGCTCATGCATCCGTTGTTCAAAGTGAGAAGTTGTCAGAATTGGTAGCCAATTATAAGGTATGCATTCTTGGATGACGGGAAGTTTTGATTCTCTTTATTTGAACTAGTATTCTTTTCTAGTTTATTGTTTCTATTTTACTTTCCAGATATGAAAGTAGTGGCAATTTATATAACATTTGCAGAAACTAACTTCATTTACAGAAACAAATTTCTGCAGCACTCACTGAACCTGTGGAATCCCTTTTTGAATCTGGTGGGAAAGACACATGGGCTTCAATAAGAAGACTCCTGAAACGTGAGACTAATGTAGCTGTATCCACTTTTCCTTCTGCTGTTGCTGGTTTTGAATTGGATCAGGCAATATTTGAGGAAATGGTACAGAGTTTGCAGGAATATTCAAGAAGTTTAGTGGAGAGAAAAGCAAGAGAGGAAGCTGGTAAAGTCCTGGTGCTCATGAAGGACAGGTTGGTAAAAAATCTCGTTTTGCAGGACATCTTTTCTCTGCAATTGCCCTTCTAATTGCTTATAATTCGGGGACTTCTAGGTTTGTTACTGTCTTCAACCATGACAAGAATTCACTGCCGAGGGTTTGGACGGGGAAAGAAGATATTAGAGAAATCGCAAAGGAGGCCCGCTCTGAGGTAATTTATGAAGACATGCACTTTAGTTAACTCTACTGACCTAACCAATATTTGCTGCCATGATCCTCTGAGATTCAGCCCTTTGTCGCTCAGATTCGTAAAAGAAAAGAAAAAAACTCTACTGACCTAACCAAGTTATATTTTCTGAAATGAGCTATCATTCTTTTTCAGTCTTTGAAGCTTTTATCCACGATGGCTGCTGTACAATTGGATCAGAAAGCAAGCAACATAGAGAATGTACTATTCTCCACCCTCATGGACAGGACAGTTGCCCCTCCTCAGAACAGGGGGAATGAAGTTTCTGGAGATCCTCTTGCTTCAAGCACATGGGAAGAGGTCACGATGAGCATGCCTGCTATTGGTTTTTACTCAAATCACATGAATTAGTTTTTCACTAGCTTTGAATACGTTTAGGTCCCTCCAGAGAAGACATTGATTTCACCTGTGCAGTGCAAGTCCATTTGGAGACAGTTTATTGCGGAAACTGAGTATACTATCACTCAAGCTGTCGTTGCACAGGTTAAAATTTAGCATATGCTTTTTTTTTTCATGTAATTTATCTAACCTATTAAGGTAGACAGAAGGAACAATCTATGGAGGCTTTTAGGTTAGCATAAGCCTACTTGTTTTCTGGGTTTTGGTGCACTTTAGTTGCAGTTTTTGGATTATAATATTGTCATCCTTTCATATTTCAGTCTTTTTTTATCAAGCCGTTGAAATAATTGGATGAAGATGATGTGTTTCATTACTACCTGAAATGCATATGAAAATAAGAGCTATTAATTAGATAAAAATTGTGCGTGTGAACATAGATCTCAGCTAGTAGTGCGACTTTATATATCCATGCCTTGTAATTCTAGATTTCGGTATATTAAATTATTTTAATACTTTCGTGTGTGTGCACAAATGAAGTCTCACAAAAAAGCTATATGCTTTTTAGTCCCCGGGATGATAAATTTTACTGTGTACTTTTACTTTTCTTTACTATGGAGTGTGGGATGCTGACGCTTGAAATCTCTCCTCCACAACGTTTGCACGTGCTCAATCTCTTGAGTAGTCACTTTGTAAACCGTTCTTGGGGTTTCCTTGTGTTGGAAGTCGATGATTCATCAATCCGATTTTGTTGCAAAATTGTGATTTCGTTGTACTTTCTATGTTTCTCTGGTTGAGGTCCCTCTAATGAGCATAATGCTAAGTATTTTATTCCTTTGGCCAGTCTTATGTATTTTAAACCTCGAAAATCTATTTCCTACAGAAGACATACGAGCAACGCAACAGTTGGTTACCTCCTCCTTGGGCAATCATGGCAATGCTTATACTTGGTCTAAATGAAATAATGTTCCTTTTAAGGTAAGGCGTTCTCCCCAATTTTTATGGCCACTTTTATGTAATTCTGCTGGATATATTAACAACCACTTTCTTCTCATTATAGTAACCCGTGTTTTCTTTTCACAAATTGTGCTTTAAACAGGAATCCTCTTTACCTTCTGGTGTTATTTGTAACATATTTGCTTGGGAAAGCCATATGGGTACAGATGGACATTCCAGCGGAAGTTTGTATTGGCACTGTGAGTAAAAATTCATTCGATATTTGCAGCGACTATATCTACAATCTATGCTCATCTAAGCGAGCATTTTTTTGTTTGTTATTTTTACCAGTATGGGAATGTCAATACATGCGCTTTTTTCTTTTTCCTTTTCAATCAGGATTTAATAAACTCTTAATAGTCACTTGTAGAAGCTCTTAGGGGTCATTCCAAGCATTGCCAATTTTGATTCCTTTTGCAGCTTTCTGCGCTTATTTCGCTCTCAACAAAATTCCTTCCCACAGTCATGAATCTTGTTAGACGACTTACTGCTGAAAGTGAAGAGAGTTTGGAGCCTGCATCTCCTCCGCGGCTTGCTTCCCAGAGTTTCAGAAATCAGATGCAACAATCTGACTCAGTAGCAAGTTCAATTCCAGATTCCTCTGTCTCAACTGAAACTGGTGTTGAATACATAAGCCCCCAACTTAAGCATAGGATAGTAACAAATCCTGAACAAGAGGAAACATCCTGTTTTGGAGCATCTGACTAGTGTAATTTTGCTAACTTTAATTGCTGTTCTGTTGTAAACTGTCCTCCAAGTTTTTTTAGTTCTTTAAGTTAATCACCAAAACTATATTTTAAGCTGGAGATATTTGCGAATTGGATGCAGGTTCTACCCCGCCCTAGGATTGGAACTGAAGAAAGTGAAGAAGCTTTTGCAAACATTCCAATATCTTACCTTTCCAAATGAATGCCATGTCTGCGAGTCGTGTTAACCTTTGAACTGAGAAACAGGGAAAGAACTTTGCTGTATATAGAGCGACACCCATAATGTTCATTTCTTGTGTATAAAAAATAAATAAGAAAAAATACCTATATGACATATTTGTACATATGATGTTAGATCATAATTATTATCTTTCATGTTGATTTGTAATGTGCTGAAGTTTGAAATATTTAATTGACTTTCTTTACATATCAGTACCTTCTGTATTTTTATTTTAATATTTTAGGATGTATTTTGGGACTATGTGATGTTACTCTAAAGGTGTGGTGAAAATTTGAATAAAAGTTGTGGATCCAATTAAATGTATGATTAAAATGAAATTTGAATACCTTTTTTGGCAAAACGAAAGCTTTACCAAACTAGGATTGTGTTTGAAAGAATCTTAGGTCAGTTGTTAGGAATAGGTTGGATATTCACTAGCTTGGGTGAAAATATTTACGAAAATATTTACATTATTTTTTCATTCTCATTCTTCTTTCAAACGAATGTGTCCCAACCACACTCTTAAACTAAGCACTCAATGAATAAGGTATGAATGAATTATTTCTTAAAATCTTGTAATTTGTTTTTCAAGGTTAATTAGTTTTTCAAAAATTAATATTTTACTTTTAATGGTCTCTTTCTACTGAGGTACTTTTGAAGAGTTTGGTTTCTCGAAAACTTTAATGTTCACTTTTCAGCATAGAAGTCAAAAAATCGGGATCAAATGATTTTTTTTGTCGACGATCTTTTGCTAGTTTTGGTTCAATCTCAAATTCCTCTTCTAATCCTTGATCATGGGTATGATCACCCATAGTTTGATGTGTCCATTTAGAGGAGTTTGTTTTCTCTTTGGACGTATATGAAATACATGATCAAATAACGAAGCATTTCTTGATTTTATTATTGTATTTTTGTGTGTATATATATATATATATATAAGATTTTCAATTCATGCACAATAAATCGATAAGCACTACTATTATATGCATAGCCAATGGAGATGCAATCTACAGTTTTTTAGCATATTTTTACCTTCTTAGGTGCATATATATTATATAGCCTTTATGGGAAAACATCCACACATTCGTAGGTATTTATAGAAAGACTTTTTCCATTTACATAACTTATATGGACTCTCTTATTTTTCTTTAGAGGCACCTTATTTAAAATGTAATTTGCTGATAACATAATTTTCCCTCTCATGTTTTGAGGTAATCCAAAACTTACTAATATTGTATTCATAATTTCTTTAAAGTAAGATTTTTTTTGTTCAGCAACGCCATTTTGCTGAAGTTAATAACGTATTGTTATTTCATATGTGATTTCGTATTGTGCAAAAAATTTAGCAAATTGTGTTTCATATTCACCACATCAATCACTTCTCAATACCTTAATTTTCTTAATAAGTTAGTTTTCAATTTCATTTTTTTAGAAAACAAAATTCTCTATAATTTCATCTTTACTTTTAAATAGATACAGATAACAGTATTTTGTGTTCTCATCGACAAAAGTAATAAAGTATTTATTGCAACATCTTGTTTATACTAATTTTAAATCACATACATAGTTGTGAATTAAATCAAATGGTCCTATATTTCTTTAAATAGATTGAAATGGTGAACTTATCAATTTTGACTCAACACAAGTCTCGCACCTAGGTTTAGATTCAATATGGAACATGTGTATGCAATTTAAGTTAATTAATCTGCATAGAATATCATAATTAACATATTCTAGTCTACCATGCCACAAAGTGGAATACTCAGCAAGTTAGTTTTATTCATTTTCAACTTGACAACTATTACATCAAGCATAAATTGTCCATCGACACATAACATTTGCCAACAAACATTCCAATTTTAGACAAATGATTTTATCTTACTCAAACACAATATAGAGTCCACCACTTATAATTAGGAAGTAGCCAACAATAAATTTCTTGGCCAGACATCCTCAATTTTATACTAAAGACTCCAACAATTCCTTAGCCATTTTCGTCATACAATACATATATAGTAAATCAGTCAATCTGTTCATAAAGAAGTTGCGGAATCAAAATGCTTCCAAGCATCAAGTACACTACTAACTTGTATATCTCCCTTACTTTAAATTTTGGAGCTATCTAAGTCAAGAACCTCGTAAGATTCAGAGTAATAAGATAAAACAATATCTTATGTTGCTATGTTTTGAAATTTAGCTTATTAAATTTCTCCTAAGTTTTCTCCATAATTAACTTAAACCCTTCCAGCAGGATCAATTGTTTAAGTCATTGTCTAGGTCATATCAGGATTGATCCTATTGCCATTTTTGAAACACGAAACAACTATTAATTCCCTAACGTAAAAATTATAACATGTTTGTTCTTGAGAAAGAAACCTCTTTAAAAATTGTTATCCAAAATATTTAATATGATAATATATTTAGTAACTATAGAAGAACAAAACATAAAATTAAGAACTGCGAAAAAGGAAAATATGAATCACTAAAGAGAGAACAAATTTGCAAATTGAGATCCGCATATTACACAATATCCTTAAAATAGATTTGTCTCTCACCGCACATGTTTGAGGTTTCATTGAGCGTTTGTCTACCAAAATACAATGGATAAATCAGTAGAAGTTGAGTACTAAGTTTCTATACCGAAAAACTAAAGGTTATTTGAACATTGCTAAGACTCGAATACGAACTAAAAAATTTCAAATAGATAAAGAAGGAAATATTTGGACCAGAGAAGATTTATTTTTGTTTTCTTTCTTTGACCCTTTATTATAAGCTTCAATGGGTGATTAAACATACTGGCTATTATAACTGCTCCTAACCACCCCTAACACCATTATTAACCCGGCTGTTTAATCTCCCAATTGACATAGGCCATAAACTTAAGAGTTTCAAGAGTCGAAGAAGTTGGAAGATCAGTTGGAAATGGAAAAAATAAATAAATAGGACAAATGAAGGAAAATATGGATCCTAGGTCATTTTCAGTTCGATATTCTTGTCTGCATGTCACTCTGGGACATGAGTTCAGTAGCTCGAGGGGCTAATCATGTCCGTGATATGCACCCCATGTGAGCGCATTGATTAAACCTTCAAAAATATGATCATATATAAACTCGTCATTGCCCTATTATTATTTTTTAAGTTGGACTAACTACAATTTTTTTCCACTATAACTCATAAACCTCTACAAGTAGGTACACTTTGACCTTCAATTTCTTATTCCCAGAACATCGATTTTGACAAGTAAATATATTATTTTGATATTTTCAAGGAAAAGAACAGAGATCTATTTTGATCTTCCAAAATGAAGGAACGTTCCCAACTCGAAATCATGTCAAAACAACACCATTTTCAAACAACAATTTCATGTCCAATCCCAAAATTCTTCACAATGCCAATTGCTCACCATTTCATATCGTGAGAGAACACAACAAAAATATAATCTATCCAAAGTCAAATACATTCTGCATACATACGATGACCCGGCTCCTCATGTACACACACAGATGCTCATAATGTTTACCATTGAAGTTCAGAAGCAATTAAAGGTGTACTGCCAATAAAATATAGAATCAGATAGAAAATTAAGTTGAAGGTGTGTACAATAATTCATAAAAAATTGCATTATAATTATAGATTGGGTTGACCTTTGAATTTGGTTGGAACCTGACACGTCAATCGATTCATCTCCTCTGTCCTTCAAGTGTATGTTACCTAGGGATGTTAAGTAGGGTGTTTCGGCCCACTTATGGGTTGAACACCTATCACTCTTGCGAAACACTCGCTAGCTTGCACGAGGTAGCTAGCAAGGGACTTGCATTCTAGTTACAAATACAATATTCAGATAACAAAAAAAAGGGTGACTCACGAGAGGCTCACGAGCCGGCTCAGTCACCCCACTAAGGAGCTAGTTGACCCCAACTTTCTTTAGATGTACTCACGACATTCTTCGTATCACTTTAATAAAATGATAAACCATTAATCGAAAAGTAAAATATAGCCGATAAAAAATGGCTACTCAAAATTGCCATTATGCATTTTCCAACTTAACATCACCTTTTGCAGCCTAGATTCGGCATGTGTCTCAAGTTCGTAGGTACTATTTAAAGATATTGCTTCTAAGATTTGCGACCTACTTTATAAAGTCATTTCGAAATGGAAAGCGATTAAACAATGAAGAAGAAAAATGATTCAAAATAGCTATTTAAAAATGATATTATTAATTCCAATTCTTTATCGTTATTGTTTATATAGTAATATGAAATCAAACAACAAGAACACAAGATTTACATAGAAATCCAAGATGGGAAAAACCACGACAAAGGTGGAGAAAACACTATAATCAAAATAAGGGGTTACAATATGTTAGACTGGATCTCACAACACCCACTTCTGAATATCTCTATCTGCGAGTATTTTTATTAATCTTGATCCTCTCTTTGTTATATTTTATCAAATATGTAATACACCACATATTTGTAATACAATCCCAAACATACTAGGAGAATTAATACAATGAAGAGTTTAATATAAGGTGAAGTCCAAATACAATGAGTGAAACCAATAATAGAATATTTGAGATGAAATATGAATAAAAAACTACCAAGAAACCAGAATTAGAATCTTGTCCAAACATCACCGTCGCTCGAGCGGTGTCTTTGTGGAGCTTGAGCGGCAACACCGTTGCTCGAGTGGTAGCCTGGCGCGAGCGAGTACCATGGTCCCTATTTTGAGAGCGTCTCCTAGGCGTTCGTGAGTGGTCGTCTTGCGTACAACCTCTTGTAACCCATTTTGAACTCCTTCAAGACATTTTCAAGTCTACTATTAACTCTTAATACTCCTCCAACAGTATTTCTAATCTAATACTTAACAAGAATTCAAGTCACAATCCAATTCTAACGAACTCCACTTGGGTACGAATTTTACTGCAAGAAATAAAACTTAACTCTTCAACGAATTAGTCCACCTCTTCCACAAAAGCTCAT